AAAACTGATTCAAAATACATCAAATTGGTTTCAAATTGTTTTTGCATTGAATCTAAATTGGATTCAGATTTGAATCGGATCGAATCAAATCAAATTCAGATTCGAATCAGATCAAATTAAATCAAATTTGGATTCAAATCGGATCAGATCAAACTGTTATAGTTTTGAATCGAATTGGATCAGTTTAAAATGAATCAGATCCATATCCGATTCATATTTATAAAAACTGGATCAGATTGAATCTAGTTAAAATCCAATCTGATTCGATTTATTGTGATCACTAATCCCCAGGATTATACACGGCAGCAGTCAAAAACAAGAGCATCCAAGGCTCTACTTCATATAAACAATCTAATCCTTTGTGAATCAAAAACATCAAAGACATCACAACCATTCTAACCCAAATTTAGAGAGAACTCAAAGTCATCAAAGAAACACTCAATGACCTTGATAATAGGATCGACAATCTCAAATAATACTGCTTTAATCAGGTGGAAGGCATAGAAGAAGATATAAGCCAAAATAACCAGGAAGTAGATCAAGAAAGCCCTGAACGAAACAATATCACTGATATTCACCGACAACAACAACAACTACACAATTCAATTGGAAATATAGACAAAACCATGAATGCCCTAGTATCCACCATTACGAGTATTATTCCCAGCAATGAACAGTCCCAACACTCCTAACTCCATCAATAATGGGTAATACACAAAGTGACACAACTGATTCCTCTTTCAGGAATAACCAATCTAACTTAGATTCATCAACTGGTGATACAAATATAATACAGAAAACAGATACCAACTCAATAGCGTATTCCCCTCCTGGAATATCAACAATTACACACTTAAACAATTCAACAGGATATAGTTAGACTCATAACTCCAAACACTTCACTGAAACAAAACTGTATATAACAATAGTAACCTGTAACTGTCAAGGTCTCACTGACACAATCAAATAAACAACATGGATGGACTCATGATTAGAAGCCAACTGGAATATAATTATTTCTACTGAAACCAATGCAACCAACAAGACAACCAATAAGTTGAAGACAAAAGAATACGCAACATGATAGGAAAGTGAATCCAGAAGGACAGGAGTCAGCATCACCATTAGGAAACCATTGACAGATAGGGTCATTGATATCCAGAAAAAGTTGGGTAGGTTAATATGTATTGACTTAGCTTTTCCCAATAAACAATATATACACATCATTGTAACCTACTTCCCAGCATAGCCAGGGCCAAACAGAGAGATAGTTCATGACCAGATTATCAAGTGGATAAAGCAGCACAACCATGACTACTGGCATGTAATAATAGGAGGTGAATTCAATACAACACCATCACAGACCATTGACCACCTCCATCCTGGATGAAAGGTCACCACATACAAAAAGAACAGCTTCTTCACAACAATTCAAGACCTAGGATTCATAGATACATTCCAATATATGAACCTTAGAGAAAAAGAATTCACATGGATCAATAATAACTCTAGCAGTTGCATAGACATGATCTGGACTAGTTCAAGAGCTACCTGAAGCATCATCGATACCTACATAACCAACAATAATTACATTAAGACAAACCACTACATACAAGTAACAATGATAGAAACATGGCAACTTATCAAAGATGAAAGCAAACTTCATCGGCCTCACAACAACACAAGATATCTGTGGCAGACCAACTCTGAAGAACAATGGAAGAAGTTCACAAAACAGGTTGAGGAGCTCTTAGAAATGAACAAAGACACATGAGCCAATCAAGAACAAGACCCAAACAGAATGTGGAATGTACTCAGACAGAGTATTCTAACAGCAGCAAAGTCAAGTCTTAGCATCTTTAAGAAGAAAAAGAAAAACAAGTCAAAGAATCATGGGCAATCCAAATCAAAACTTATCTCTCTTTTCAACAAATATCACAGAATAATCCAAAAGACTACCACAGCAGGAACAAAAGGAACAACTGAAAAAATGAGAATGCTTTACAAACAGATAACATTATCCTGCCCAGAAGGCAATCCCATCCCTTTATGGAATGAACCAGAGGACACAAAAAACATCACAGAAACAATAAAAGTGATCATACTAGCCTGGTCCAAAGGTAAAAGGATGGACATACAGGACACAATTAGAGCAAACACAATCAAGTGCAGCATCAGGTGCGACAACCTCTTCAACTCAGACAAAAAGGTTCTAATCCGCTTCTTACTAGACAACCCAAAGAAAAGTATAATCACATCCAGACTAGTTAAAGATGGATCTGACACAAAAATAATTATCATGGATCCTGACACAATAAAAGAAGAAATCAAACAACACTTTGAGCAATGGACCTAGGAATGCACCAATTACAAGATAGTAGGTACTATCTGGGAACCAAAATACAAACCAAGGACACATATCAAACAAGAATGATATGACCTAGCAACCAAGCCATTTTCAGCTGAAGAAATTGAACAAATCATTAGTAACACTAGTAACAAGTCAGCTCCTGGTCCTTCACAGATCCCATATATCACATACAAACACCCAGTCAAAAAACTATAGATTATATCACAACTCTCTTCAATACAATCCTCGACATAGAGACCATCCCAACTGAATGGAAAAGGGGTACGATATACCCCATACCAAAGCCCAAAGATTGGCAGTATGACATCAATATCACATGACCTATCACGCTACTTGAAGCCATAAAGAAAATATTCACAAAGACACTAGCAAACAGACTGTCTAATATTCTCATTAAACATGATATCCTCTCTGAATATAACTGAGCTGCTCTCCCTGGACATAGCACAAGGAAACCCTTAATGATTCTGAACCAAGTTCTAGAATATACTAGAGAAAGACATAAACCTTGCTACATGCTATTTCAGGATATGTCAAAGCATATGACATGATCAATTCACACAAACTCAACCAAGCACTACAACGTATTAAAATACCCAACAAAATCATAAATATTATTGACAACTGCTTTTTGAGTGATGCAACACAGTTATAACATTTTATGGAAATACAAATGCATATCCAGTACATAATGGCATTGACCAAGGGGATGCGATCTTACCCCTTCTATGGCACATCTACTATGACCCCTTAATATCAGCTATTAGCAATTGCAGAGGCTACACAATTCAAAACTACAAGACTTACATTGACATAGAAAGCAGTAACAATATCAACGTTACAGTCACTGCATACATGGATGATATTCCCTTCATTACGCAAAATGAAGAGGATTTGGAAAAAATAATCAGACTTAGTACCTCCTTCTATAATATCAATGGTATCAAGGTCAACCCTCACAAGTCTGAACTACTAATAGTCAATGCCTCAAAACAACTGATCATCATCAATGGCACTACGATTCAGCCTGCTATCCACAATGCAGCCATCAGAGTCCTAGGAGTATGCATAAAGAGAAAAGTGGAAAACAATATCAAAGACACCTAATTAAAAAAAAAGTCAATGCTATATCTAATGCCATATCAAGAAAGCACATCACAAATAAAATGCATAGATATATTGTCAACCACATTTTGTTCCCATCCATTGAATACTTGCTGACAGACCTTGTGCTCACCAGAAAAAAAATGAAGCAAATTAACACTAGAATTCAATACCATTTCAAGCATCGAACCCACCTAACTGCAAGTACACCTAATTCAATAATTCATCTCAATATGATTTACGGAATAATGGACTTATACAGCAGATAATTACAAAAGCAAGCCACATTTTTACAAAAGTTATATTATAGTCAAAACGAAGCTGGACGAATTATTTGCTTACGGATACAACAACTCCAGTGGATGGTATGGCAAAAAAAAGATATTTTGAACCATCTACCAAGGATTCTTCCACAAAAAATTAATTTTCTCCATGACACTATCTGCAACCTACAGGCAAATAATATATGCATGAGCAGACCAGTTATCAGGGAGAAGAAAACAACTAATTTCCACCATATTAAAGATCTCTGTGATACAGAATGGTATAATAAACACTGTTCTTCACTTCAAAAACACAACATACAATAGATTGAACAAACAATTAATACATATATGACCAAAGCAATAGAGTGGCATCAAGTAGTGGTACTATATAACAAGACCAACAAAAGAAAAGAACCCAATTGATACAAAGTGCTTAAAAATCATATCAACAACTTTATCAGTATATTCAAACAGAAGAATCTTCTCAACCCCATAGTACAGATTGAGACATATACCAATCCAGTAGAATAGTCTAGTTGGTATACATATCATTTCCAAAATAAAATAATCTTGGGCAAATGTCTCAGCAACAAGGACAATAATATCAAGCTCAGATACTATACTACTACAAAAGAGTCATCTATTCAGAGTTACTTCGGCTGCCAACTCACAAACTCCAAGGACAGGAGAGGTTAGTTCTGCTGCATAGAGACAAGTATAAACAACATAGCAAGAGTTCCAGTCATCAAAACAATAAAGTCCACAAGTCAACAAGGAGGTGAGGCCAAACTGCAACTCCAAATTTCACTATCCAGTTTAAAAAGATGGCACAATAAATCCAATAGCACTTTCGATTATGTCGAAATAACAGAGGCTCCCAATTCTTTAGCATTACTATATAAGCTTATCACCTTTTCAAACAATAATACACAAAGACTCAGAGATATTGTACATCAACTCAAACAACATCAACATATCATGGCATACACAGACGGTGCCTATGATTCAAATCAGAATACAAATCAGGGAGGTATAGGGATTATTCTCAAAACACAAACAAACAAACTTATTAAAATAAAAATCATCATCAAGGGCCAGCTATCTGCTGATAGATGCAAATTCCTAGCTACAACAATTGCAACAGGACTCTGCAACAAAGGAACACACATGACTATACATACAGACTCAATCAATCTCATCTCAAATTACAAACTTATACAGAATAGACATATTAAGAAGGCAAAAGAAACAAGAATATTCTCTAACCTAGTACATTTGGTATAAGATAACTCAATCTCAATCGAATGGATCCACTATAAAAAAGAAAACAGAGACCCTTTAATGACTGAAGCTGATCAAATGACAAAAAAAGTCAAAAGAATCTCACAATCCATACTCGAGAGCACTATAACAGCCTTCATTACTGATCCAGATCTCATCACTTTCAATCTCAGTGACTATAAAGTCACTCAAAACATATGAAAGACACTCAAAGCAATAAACCAAGCCAAACATACATATGAATAGATAAAGTTCACTTGGAACAAACAAATACATACACAGTTCAAAGAAGAAATTAATTGAAAGACCACATTCAAACATTTACACCCTTCCAAGATCTCCATTGACAATACAGATACTATAGACCATAAGATATGCATCTTCGCAATCAAACTTTGAAATCAAGAACTCCTCACCATGGACAAGTTACATACTCGATACCTTACCATTTACAAGACCCCGACATGTTTCTGATGCACAACTAACAAAGACAACCTACACCCATTTATCTGCTTCAACCATCAACTGGACATCAAATAGATAATCATCAACATGATCCACAGAAAAACATCTGCAAGAAAGGAGAATAGACATAGCCATAATATGAAGCAAGATATTGAGAACATCTTCAATAAGTCAAATATCTGGTACACAGTTCTCAAAGGGGGAATCACAAAAAGCCTAATCTTGTTAATTACACAGTACATCAAATATGAACAAACTAGCCTCAACTATAAAAGGCATCACAAATAGTAAATGACTCATCACATACAGTATATGGAGTAACAGATATTATTATTTCCATGCATGGGAAGTATCATAGAACATCAACTGATAAAAGAAGTGTAACAACACAAA